ATAGTTAAGATGATGGTATGGGGCGGTATGTTGCCACCCAAATCAACGAGTCGGCATCATAGACAGCACCATTTTTTGCGCTTTACAACAATTCCTTTTGCATGAATTTGCACATTTTTCAACTTCTCTATTGCTTACATCAATGTATCCTATGTCCATGCTAAGGTCAGAGGTCGAATATAAAAGCATTTCACACCACTTTGTTAACTTCATATCCGATGCTAGAAGTCTGTTTTGCAATGTCAATCTTAACGCATTCACGTGGCCTGATCGGTGAGCTGGTTTGCCCTTCTTTCCTACATGAGAATGCCTTGGCATTTTTTGAGTCTCAGGATGATGCCACGCTTTCGACAACGTTAATTAAATTTCGCGGAAAAAAGCAATGCATGTGAAATGCCTTCATTTAAAACCCAATGGCGATCATCAAGATGAATGAAAAATGGAAGTATAACTTTCCGGGAAATCCAAGTTTTTACATGTTAATCGGGTTGTACTGCTGCCGACATAAACTTTGCGTCAGTATGACGAATTTATACAACGCCGAAGACAGTTTAAAACAAAAGATAATGTTTACAAGGAATGTAATCCACCTATCAGCGGCAAATTTTGACGTACAGCAAGCGATGCGGCTATTAACAAAACCAGGATGGAAAGTCTGCAGAATGGCAGTTGGTTCAACTCCTAATTTGGTTTTGGATGATTTGTTATTACGAAAGTTTGTGAACTGGAATATCTAGCATCAGTAAATTTTGTCCGCATGAAGACCAAGATGATGCGAACGGAAATTCCTTTCGTGTAAGTGGACATAACACACATATGCTTGTAGTTGGGATTTTTGAAGTGTTGACCTAAAATGCAACGACTTTCTCTGTGGTTTTTCAGTCAAGGATACAGATTGCAATCTTGCCACGTGCATTTTCATGCGCCCCAGCAGTAGAATGAGAGTTTAACTTTCAATCAAGCGACCAAGTGAACGTCCTTTTTCGAGCAAATCCTAATCCAAAAAGACTAAATGTGCAGGGCTATGATACCTGCTTCAAGGAGCATCACAAACTGCTTTCTCAGTGTGGCGTCACTAAGAGGCCACAAGGCGTTTGTTGGGCATCTGCAACAGGTTTCTGACAGTGGTTTTATTCATAAAGTGTCTCTATCTCTTGTTTTTCAGCGCTCTAATTTATGAAGAAAGCGTAAAGAAACTTCAAAGGTATTCTTTGATTGGTAGGAACAAAATTTTCCTTTTGATGTCCGTGGAATTTCAGACACTAGTATCCTCTGAAAAAAAGCATTCGGCGCAAAGTGGGACCATTTCATCTAATAATTGAATGCGTTTACATAATCACAAAACAACCTTTTCCACTGAATGCAAATTTAATCAACCATGGATACTATTCATGCACACGAGCCCACTTCTCTTTAGGTTGAAGCTTAAAATCTGAAGGCTGTCCTTGCAGTTGATTTCGCACTAGGAAAATGCATAATTGCATGCTAAGATTCACCAAACAATCAAGTATGCAACCCTTATTTATCGTTGGAATGCTTGACTTTAAAAGGTAGCATTGGCTTTACTGCTTTGTGAGTAGAGCAGCGTTAAAATGGAAGCATCGTCGTCGGAAACGCTTCTTCTACTTATTTTCATTAGTAAAGCGTTTCGAGAGTTAAGTGGAGACACTAAAGTCACACCTGCATAGCCAGCAACACCATATCCCGAGTTAAAACAAGTAAGTTGCACCGAGAATGAAAATATTCATCTGCTTCCAACAACTATATGGAGATGATTTTCTTGCGCTTATGGAAAACGATTTGCCAAAAGGGGCATGCTGGGATGCGAGGAATGGTGCATGGTTCGCCTTCAAGCCAAGAGCGTCCACTCGGCACACGCCTATTGGTCAGCACATGCATCTGGTGGACCATCTGAAACCTGCGGTTAAATCTCTCATGCATAAGTTTGCATTGTTGGAAAATCGAGACGCATGCTTTTCGTATCGTCAAGTGTGCGAATTGTGACCAGGAAAATGCTCTCTACTTGCTACAACACTGAAAAAAGGAAAAAATAATGAAAATAGAAATTTATTTTGGAGGCATTTACAATCATCCTCAAATCGTCTCCTAGTCTGATAGCTTAAAAAAGCATGAAAACCTGCCAATTTATAAAATTTCCGTCTATAGTGCAGCGATAATCTTAGAGGACTGTGGCCTCCCTATCGGCGTTGCCATTCAGGTCTCAAACAATAGCAGGTCAGGACAGGGCAAGTTGTGTCGAGGCATTTGCATTTAAACAGCTGCTTGAGCAACTCTCTCACAACATCAAACCAGTCCTTCCAAGCAAGCATAGTATGTTTGGATAAACTCTATCAAAATCTCACTGCTTCACCACTATTTCTGACGATCTCTAGCTTAAGGATAAAATGTCAATTTCGCCCTTAAAAATGCAAAACTGGACTGGACAGATTTGGTAATAGGAACTAAAAGGGCTTAAACGAATAACGTTAGAGTTAAGTGAGAAACAAGGCTTCCTTTTCGGTTGGGAAGACAAGAGCCCCACCCTGATCGGTTGCAAAGGCTTGCATGCGGGTGTTTATTGAAGAGGGGCAAGACTCCGGATCTTGTGACCTTTAGACTAGTCACGTCGAAAACAACTGCATGCCAATTCATAATGCAATGGAATACCACACAATCGGATTGACGACGAACGGCAACTTTTTTGGTGATAATCGACTGGATACGGCACTTGGAGTCACAATGGCAGTGCCCTGACTTGCGTGAGACGCAAACTATTATTGCATGTCGAACGTGATGCGATTTATAATCAACCAGCGTCTGCCGCTTAAGCGATTATAATCCAATGTCTATTCATACTGATTTTCTGATTCACTGTCACGCACTCTATTCCAAATCTAGCAATGTTTCTGCTGTTCGATGACAGCATTGTGGAGTAATAAGGACAGCCCGCTGGAAGCTTTAAATAAGATAGCACTGACTGCGAAATTGCTTCATTAGATGCGTTGTAACTGCAAACCTAAGGAAGGAGGCATTTCAAAAATATTGGTAATTCTTGAAAGCAATTACAAGCAAGGCGATACTCCTTCATATCTGTTCTACCAATACAAGGTACCTTCTTCATTTTGTAGCACTCAAGACCACCACCACATTACTTACACCAGGCAGCCAGGCTCGTAGGCCATGGCAGCAGCCTCATGCCGTCGTGTATGTCAACAATGCATATTCTGCCCAAACACCATGTCTCCTTCCATTCCCAGAGAAATCTGAGGGTAGTATGCCTTTTTAAAGTTTAAAATGTCAGCATGCTGGAGGGACGCATAAGCGGAGTCATCAATGCGAATTGCGCGCTTTATTAACTAAACAAGTTAATATCAAAATAGTAAAATGGAGTGGTAATGGAGTGTTATTTACACTTAAGTGAAGGTGATTGGATTTACCTGAGTGCGGTATTCATGAGAACACGCAGTTCGAACCGTATCAACCGACATTCTTTGAAGACCGCCAAACTTAGCCACAAAATGCATTTTTATTTCAATAGTTGCCGCTAAGTGCGAGATGTATTCATTTGTTAGGATGCACTTGGTTTTGAATTCTTAAAGGTTCAAACGCTGCACAGGACCATGGCCAAACTAGCATGGCTTGACGTTTGCCAAAGTTTTGCAAGGTAAGTCTCTCTTGTGCTGAGAGGTGGTGCCACCTCCTCCGCCCTCCCCTAATCATTCCCTCATTTACGCCTGGAGAAGAGTCTTATGACCTGGGAGGAAAGCATGGAGAAAGAATTAGTAGCACTCACTGCAAACCTCGAGTCATTAACGGTGCAAAACTCTATGCACAAATTCTGAATGGGAAGAGCTAGTGGTCACTCCATTAACCGATTGAGCGTCTCTTTCGACAACAAAAAGCTCTCTTTGGAACTGCGATACACTTCTTCTCGCTTCGATAAAAGATAAATCAGGAATTTTAGTTTGGCATTATTAGAAATCACTTTGGAAATTAACTGCTTCCATTCCGTCCTTAGGGTTTTGGTTGGTACTGTTGTCCTCTCATTCGCACGCCTCGTAGCTAGATGGATTTTAAGGCAAAGAGAAGGAAAGGAAAACGATCTTCAAATGTCAGTTGCTCCTCCGTAATTTGTACTGCCTGGTCGGATGTAACCAACGCGTTTGGTTGCATCACGCCCACTACCATTGTGGGGAAAGGCGAAGCAAAGCAAACGAAAGGTGTGGTTCAGTCAGGGCAATAAGTAAACTCTACCTTATGATTATCTCTTCCTTGGCACTGAGCGCGACGAATTTCAGATCAAATGCAGTTAACCGAAGACTGCTATAATGCCATTTCCCTAGCAGTCATTGCACAACTGCGAACATCATTTGCTCCATGGTAGACTGTTTCGGTTTAATAAGGAAAAGAAAATTAATATGATCCTTTTTTTCGGAAATTCCATTATGCCTTTGAGCTCGGTCACTCATGCTCTTGCTCACGTGGATATTTGACCGCAAGCCCTCCTCTATCCTTCGCGAAGAGGCATGTCTCTTTGCTCACGCCAACTATCCAACCAGGTCTTCCTCCCTTTAGTAATTAATCTTTCTCGATAGAAAGTTGGAGAAAACTAGGCGAGAGATGCCATATACTCTCGAGGCAAATTTCAGGATGTAGTACGTACCAATGCAAGAGAACAGATGTTTTTCTTTCCTCATTTTAAATTGTCATGCGTGACAATATAAATTACTGAAAGACTAGGACTATGAAACTTTGGTCCTTTTTGTTGTGAATGAATTATTTATTAGACAGAGAGGGTGTACACGATCATTTGCTCCATTGTTGTCTTAGCTTCTTGTGGGCCCATGCACTTTTGTCAACCTCAAAACAATTCACGATAATGCTACTGATGCTGCTGTCTAGACGAGCGACAGACGAGTTCACGGCTTTCATAATGAACTCATGAAAACAATGTTCAACATCCAACAGCTCACGATGTCGGTTGAGTGTTCACTTAGAAACACTCGATGCCACATTTTAAAGTAAATTCTTCGAGTAATCTTCGAGCCCTTTCCAATTGCCAATCGGACCACTTTTCCGTCCCCAGTCAAGTGAAGTTACGGCATTTAGATCACCAAAGTATGCTTCCTCGAGGTTTATGCATTAATTCTCACCTGCTGATAACCCTGTAAGACTGCCAATAACTCCACCATAAAGGATAGATGAAGTTTGAACCTCTCAATAAAAGCAGACTGCCTCAAACGCTTCACACATTTGGCCACACGATTATAAGAGGGATGATATTTTCGCAGTAACAAGTTGACTTGATCATGGGTTGCGAGAAGTGGCAAATCTTTATACTTTGGGTTTAAGCGACTGTTCAAGAATCGGAAGGAAGGGACAGATGGGGGTGGAGATGGAAGAGAGAGAATTTTAACAAACTTCAGTCATTATATTCCAGACTTCAGTGGATAAAAGTATTAAATAGGTTTTATATTGTGGAATAGTCTGACATAATATAGTGGATACGCCTGAGCGCATGTTGGTGAAAGGGATGATGAGGAGGCAACATATGAAGGCGAGCACGGGATCAGCTACTACGGAATTACATGTGCAATTCCCATGGATTTGTAGTTGTTGCATATACACAGTGATGGAGTTCATACATTTCACTTCCTCCTAATTTGTAGAGAGGCACGTTAAATGGTCGTGTGCAAACACCCGAGAGCGTCCGATATGTTGGGATCCTGTAGGTGGGACACAAACACAAACTTATTTGAGATTGACGGAAAGCACTACAGCCTTATGCCGCTCCATGCTGAACGGCTGCTTTACTGGAAAAGTAAACCGGTGCAACCTTAGGTGTCGATAGGATGACTGCCACATTTCAACAAAAATTCGTCTGACCAATTTTTTATTTTATTTAATTGTTTGGGAGGAGGAGGTGGAAGGGGAAAAAGGCAAAGGTCAGCTTAGGAAAACGCTTCTGTGGCGACGCCTGAAGGTGCACTGCTCAACATTAGATACCTTCAAGTAATCGGCAAAGA